AACGACACAAGCTTATGCCAAAGCTGAAAGTTTTGGCCGGAAAAATCGCTAACTCGAGATCGCTAACTTTTGGCTACTCACTGCCAGTAGCCAAAAGCGTAGGAAATAGCCCGGGTATCAGTAAATCTCAGCAGCAATCTCCTACTATCGATGGTCTCCTCTTCCGAGGTTAGTAGCAAACTGGTAGTGATTTTGACACCCCAGCACGTGCCAATACCAATTTAGCATCAAAACGAATGAACGAATCGCAGAGAAACTCTTTTCGTTATGGTGGAGTCGGACCATCGATCTTCATCACGAAAATTGCGCTAATTGGTATTACCAACGGCAAGTGTTGCGCAACGCAAAAAGCCAGATTCATATTTCGTAGGATTGCTGAAGTATTCCGTTTGGCAAGATGTTACCTTGCCACTTCGTTAAGATTTTATCGGCTTTCCAACTGATAAACTCGTAAAGATAATCAACACATAGTTTAGTAAGCATCATATATAAGTAGCGGCGGGTGGGCATGGTACTGTGAAAAGTATCATCACTGTCATGCAGAAGGTTGAGAGTTGGATTCCGCCAGTAGGGCAACTGACTCACTAATTCGTTTCGATAGCAAATTGGTGCTGGCATACGCGAGGGAATGAAATTCGCTACCCTCCAAAGAGGAGGCCGTCAGCACCCTCGCAAGCACTTAGTTACCATTAGCATTTTCCCACTCAAGCTGCATTTCGACTATCTTCTCTTCGCATAAAAAATGAATACAAAATTTTGACTCTGCCATGTGGGCAGCGCAGCCGAAGAAAGAAGCTGCCCTTATTTCTTTAAACGCAATTAGCGTAAAAACTGATTACATGGGAAAGACAAAAAAGACTTAATAGCAGGTGATTGCATATTACACAAGGAAGGGTACAGAGTTGTAATCTGAATGAAAAGCACACTAAGCATCACCGAAGAGGTATTATTTTGAAAAGTGAAATTTAGGCTAGGTAATATCAAATTTTGGCTCAAAGCGCGGAAAAACAATGATTGACATAATCAGGATGAGAACGCTGGATTTGATAGGCGAATGCTTTGCTGACCTTATCAAAGCCAGCTACATTAAAGGATATTGTTTTTTGAGTTGCTGCCTGCTTCCCGAGCTCACATTTTTGCTCACTGCCACTCACCGTGAACATGAAATCTATTCCATAAACAAAAACTTCTGTTTTGAGCAAAAAAAGATAAACCTGTAGCACTGTGAGCGGTACTGAGGATCATAGGCTGGATTATGCGCACAACTACGAACTCTCTGTCGAGCTCCGGAACGAAGGAAAATGCGAGCAAGGAAATCCGGATCCTTGCGTTGATTTTCATTCAGCCAGCTGAAAAGAAATTATCCATCCTTGAATAATAAGGAGCACTCTGCCAGTTGTTTCGGATTAATGACGAAAGAAAGAAAATTTTTGGACTGCACTAACCTTTCCAGGCAAATGATGCAATGCCTTGTTTCCACGGAAAAATAGCCAGCGTCGGTCTGGCAATGCTGCGAAGCTAAAGTGAGGTTTTCATACTGACCAACATCGCTCAACTTCTTGAAATCTTCTTCTGCAAATACGCTAATATCTGCATTAGATGCCAAAAAACCATGGAAACCATGTTTGGTGCCTCGCCGCATATAGCAATACTCAAACGCGACTCTTTGTTACTTATTCACCACGTACTTTGATATTTAGATGAACAGTAGTTCCATCTTCGTACTCTTTCTGGTTCTTACGAGGTTATCAGTGTATTTGGAAGTGAAATATGGAATATCACATTTGTTGTGACGAAATCCTGGCACTGCCTTAACCGATCATGAATGAGCAAGAGAGGCGTCCTCAGCTACATCTTTGGTAAAGTACTAAGGTATCAGTCTGGCATGAGCGATGTAATCGAGGCAGGCTAAACCACAGGGAAGAGAGACTGGCTCATTGTGTGGCAAAAATGAGGCAGTGGATTAGAACTTATGCGACAGTAAAATTAAGCGTCAAGAAAGCCGTTACCAACGAGATGGAAGAAGTAAAAAAATTACATCCCGAAAACTTGAATAAATATTCAGGCTTTGATAAAGTCTAAAAAGGTACCCTTCCAAAGGATGCTCTTCCAATACTTATCTAAAAAATTATTAAAAATTCAAATAAAAACTTACCATTTTGAAGAAGCGGTATAATATAAAGAGAAATTTGCGCTGAAGGATGCAGTAGCCCATCCCGAACCAACCCATCACTCGTACCCCACAGTGGTACTTCCATCGCCCGCCGAGGCCACTTTCTGTAACAAGTGATAAAGTGACCCATTTCAAAGCATTCGGAAAATCTTGGATGTGACTGACTGTAATCAACTTTTATGCAGACCAAAGTCAAAATTAATGACTAGTCCAGTCCCTATGTCAGCAGTGGTACTCAGCTCACGTGCGACCTGACAAGAAACGGCGTATACGCATAATGGATGTATTTGATGATTAGATGTAGAGGATCCAGGAAAAAAAGGCTTGGCACAGCTCTATGAGCACAGTCTCTGTAACACTGCTCGTAGTAATATTTATTTGATATTTGGTATTTAATACTTAGTGCCTAATGCTAAATTACCTACTAAGTCTAAGAAGAGTCATGAATACTTTTCAAGGAGTAGATATCAGCTAACTGCGAAGTATATATTACAAATGTCAGAAATTGAAATATATACAATCTACGGAAAAGCAGTAGTTTGGTTAAGATCAAGACGTTCCGATTCATTAAAAAGCGTACTCCTTAATTCATTGCCACGACTGAAAACTGCGGTTATGATGACACTAATTAGTGGTTTTGACACAAATTTTTACAAAACAAATGTAAGGCTATTATTGAAAGAGATAAGAAACCATTAAAAAAATTATGGGTAAGGGGCGAATTCGAAAATAGCTGCTAAATTTGCGATATCCACTCAAATAAATTATTAAAGAAGCGAAAAAACGAAAAAAACTTATAAAATATTCCCCTTCAAAACAAAAAAAAAATCTGCCCTAAATGACTCATGCCGTTTTTGGGTTTAGAACCTCGTAATTTTCACATGGAGTACCGGCAATGATGGTGCACGAAGTTAAGTGCCGTTTCGGCCGGACTGGCATTTGGCGGAACATGACATCGTGGTAATTGT